TACTTCAATATATAGTAAAGAAATTATGATCATGTGAACAAGGGAATTAATCTTTTTTTTTTAGGTGTCTTGATAAAGCGGCAGATTTCTTTAACAATTTGACAAATTATTTTGTCTGCACTCTACTGTCTGTACTACTTCTTTGTGAAGTATATAACCAAGACAAATATGTGTGTTAGTTAGCATTGGTACTTCATTTCTTACATGACAAATGTGTTGCTTATCTGAGGAAGGTTTGGTTGTTTTACTGTGTTCCTCTCATCTTTCGTTCCGAATGCCTTTCAGCAGCGTTTATTAGATTGCCTTTGAAGTATTGTCAACAGGAACAAGAAACCTGATTACTGATAAAGAACATTGAGAAAATGTTCTCGGCTGATCACTATTTGGTAGACCAGATTCCTGTATGAGAAAATAATCTCGGCTGATCACTATTTGGTAGACCAGGTTCCTGTATGAGAAAATGTTCTCGGCTGATCACTATTTGGTAGACCAGATTCCTGGATGAGAAAACGTTCTTAGCTGATCACTATTTGGAAGACCAGATTCCTGGATGAGAAAACGTTCTCGGCTGATCACTATTTAGTTTACCAGGTTCCTGGATGATAAAATGTTCCCGGCTGATGTACCTGATATTCAATACATTAGTTTACAGTGTAATTTTAAACTGCCTAGTAAACAAGCGGGTGGTGAGGTACAGAAACTGGATGTCAGTATTGCCAAGATGTTTTAGCATTTGTTTAATGTAGGATTGGATTCCAATGTACCCAGAGTCTCATAGAACAAGGGCTGTGTGTACAGATGACCTTATGGTACTGCTGTGTTACTACAGTAAAACATGTTTACTACAAACACACTTCAAATGAAATAAGGCTCATAGTACCATCATTTCTCACAATAACAAATTATTCCTATAGGGAATTACAGTATGTCCAAAGGTCTATAAGGATCCGTTTCCTGTAGGAAATGACTGAAAGTCTATAAGGACTTGTTTCCTGTAGGAACTGATTTCTAAGGTCCCTAGGGAATGTGGTGTGTTATATGGTACATTAATAAATGTAGAAGGTATTGGGTACAGATCTATAAACTGTGATCAGGTTACACTCAGGCTGGAATACCAGACACAATCAGATCTACCAGATGATATCTGATTTTAAGGATATCAGTCTCGTGCACTGCTGGCACACACTAGAGAATTCCACTGGAGTTTTTTGTCAAGATTTCAAGATTTTAATAGGTCACCTGAGACAAAGTCTCACGTGACCTATTGCGATCGCCTTTTGCCCGTCGTCCGTTGTGCGTCCGTAAACAATTTACATTTTCGACTTTTTCTCCAAAACCCCTGAACCAATTTCAATGAAATTTTGTAGGGACCTTCCATGGACAAAGGTCAACAAAAATAGTGGCCGGTTTAGTCCCAAGCCCCCAGGGGCCTGAGGGGCGGGGCCAAAAAGGGTCAAATTGACTAAAATTTCAAAAATCTTCTTCTCAAGACCCAGATATGGTAGAAT